TGCTGATGAGCTGATCATTTGAATCAGGTGTCTTGGAGGAGGGAGACATCTAAAACGGGCTGGATATGGACTCCCGAGGACCGGACCTGGGCATGTCTGCCCTAGATGAAGGTCCTCAACTCACTTCATTATTGTTCCTTGGTGCCAACATGCCACAAGATGCATCAAACCACTAAATAAAACTCCTCAATTCACATTGACATAATTCCTTTGTAACAAGATGCCACAAGAGTCGAGATGAAGCTCTTGAACTCACTTCAACATAGTTGCTTGGAAACAAGATGACACAAATTGGCACCAAATCACTACTTTTTGTGGGGTGAAGCTTCCCAACTCACTTCAACATAGTTCCTTGGCACTAAGATAGTACCAAAGCACTACTTTTGTCTGAATGAAGCTATTGTACTCACATCAACATAGTTCCTCGGCTCCAACATGACACAATTGGGACCAAATCACTGCTTTTGTCAAAGTGAAGCTCCTCAACCTACTTCAGCATAGTTCCTTGGTACCAATATTGCACCAAAGCACTACTTCCATTGCTTTGTCCTGAGCACAAAACCACCGTAAAGGTGTATTTCAGTGAATAACAGAAGATAGGTAAAAAAAATATATATTCCTAATACCCAGTGTTTTCCTCCAATGTTGTGAAGAATGAAAAACAAGCTCTGGTATTTGGAGTTTGCCACATCTGAGACCATCAATTCTTCTTGCAAGAACCTCACGGAGTGTCTCGCCATTGAGGTGAATGTTTCTCTTGCAGTCATGTGACTTTTTTTGGCTGCTCTATTCATTTGTTGTCACGCTCTTTGTTGAATGGATAACAACAGTGCTGTGGGAAACCTCTTGAACTGAGCGGCACGTCTCTCACGTGCATTGCTGTCCTCAACATACCCAGCATCTATGGCGGCTCCAACCTGTGGGGCGAGTCCACTAAGCCTGGTGGTCCACCACGTGAACCACGTGAAGTCATCACTGATCCAGAAGTTCTTAAAACAGTAGCACAAGGTAGATGTTTTTTTTTCTTTCTTCTACTTACTGTACTGTTCTAAAACGCTCTCACGAGCCTTTTCAATATGATATCTTTGCAGACATGACTGATAAACGTCTAGAGGTGGTAGGCCTGGAAGGGATGATAGAAATGGGACAGATCTACACTGGGCTGAAAAGCGCCGGGCACAGATTGGCACAGGCCTCCCAAATTACAATCAGGTGGTGTGCTTTTAGCTCTGACCGAACACCTGAATCATTGCTCCAAACTTACAACAATGAATTAACAATGCCACTCTTTGTTCTCTAATATAGGACATTAAAAGCAATGCCCATGCAAATTGACGGGGAGCCGTGGTTGCAACCTCCTTGTACAGTAAGTCTCTATTCATAGTCACTACATTGGGTCTCATGATAGAATGTGCAAAATGTGAAGCGTTCATTTTAATAGCCAGCAGGGGCCGACATTGACCTCATTACACCTTCTGTGAAGCGGAACGTGTCTGCGTACCAAAATATGTTTGAGTTCCGAGTGAAAAGAATCATTTCAATACTTTTACTGTAATTGATAAGAACATGAATCATCATGTCCACTGTAGTAACCGCTGTCCCCGAAAGGGTTAAAAAAAATACATCTAACAAAATACAAAAAAAAAAAACGAAGAATTTTCTAAAAAGTCAAAAATGTAATGAAAACTAACTAATGAAAAATCTAAAACTATTGGACATGTGCAGTAAGAAGATGGAATAGTCCATTGCATGAGAAGCCAAAATGATCATGATAAATTTGCCATTTTGATGTGTTTTTTTTAACTCTGCAAGTTAAGAACAAAACAAGCATAATAACTTTGATTCAAAGTAAACCATCAATCAGGATTAACAAAATGATTTTTGGCACCTGGACATCTCAAAGGCCCCAGGCAATTGTTTGTGATTGCCTAAAAATAGGTCCCTCCCTTGGTTAGCACACTACAACATGTATCATTCCAAACAATTTACATTTCTACTCATGACGAGCCACCTGTCGTGTCTTCCTTCATTCCAGATCCACATAACTCACAACATTCTACTCATGATGAGCCACCTGTGTGTGTGTCTTCCTTCATTCCAGATCCACATAACTCACAAGAACCAAGCTAACATGTTAATGGGTCCACCAGCAAAGCCATCCGGTTTCTTCCACCTCAAATAGAAACAATCTTTTTCCACAGAGGGACTCTGGAAAACATCACTCTACATATGATGCGGATTTTTACATTCTTTTAGATAGCATTTGGTGTGTGTTTTGTTACCGAGAATTCCCAAACTGTTATTTTGCACTTATGTTACTGTACTTGTTCGTATGGATTGATGGTTGCTTGTCCTGATTTTAAAGGAGGATCAGAAATATGTTTACATGTGTTGTTGTGTTTGTTGTATGGTTAAAATAGAAATCTGTAGCAGGGTGTTAGCGTTTCAATGACATGCTTACCTGCACTCGGTGCATTCTATAAATATATTTATTTCTGCATTTTAATTGACCGACTGGGTGAAATGGTTAAAAATGTCCTTAATTCAGCGTGTTTGAATTCCAGTGACACTTATCTCTGTTATGCTTCCACTACTGTTAACTTGCCCAGTCTTCTTGTCAAGCATAAATTGTACAGCTAGGCCTGTATAGCCTAATAAACTAATATCAAGATGAATTATGGAATGAGTAACAATGGATTAGGGGGAACAGCCTTCATTGTTGTTGCTTTATTTATGGTTGATGGCAATTTTACTTGGATATGAAATGTTTAGAAATGCACCCATTTCAACATGTTCGTATTTTAGTTGGTTCTTGTTCTCAGGGGATGGTTTCAATCTAGTAAGATCATATCGCAGTACATCTGACGGTACAAAAATCACATTTTCTGAAATGTAACCTGTATCTCTCTTTTTTAAAGACTATATATGCTAAAGGCATATTTATGAACAGTAGATGCTGTTGTATTCTGTTTCCTTTTAATATAGCTTGCCAATTGAATATCGAAATGTTTATCTATCCTGGCAGAATTTTGAAAGACATGCTTTGCAGAATGCATGGGTGGAAAAGAGGACTAATCCAGAGTTAGTGAGGAAAGGAAGCATGGAGGAGGATTAATCCTAAGTAAGCGAGAAGGAAAAGTGAAACTTTACGTGGGCGTTTTAAAACGGAAGAGCCTAACTTGGAGCAGACATCTTAAGACGTGCTGAAAATGCAAGCTTACATGTACATATATTTTGGTAAATTATATCAAAATGCATTCTCCTCTCCCATAGATGACGGCGAGTGTCTGGAAATTGTAAATGCCATAGAGGCCGTTCAATGGATTAAAATGTTTCAATACACATTCCACAGGGACCCTCTTCATATTCGTATGTTCTTAAGAAAAACACAATTTCTTCGCACACCGAATGACCCATCGCACTCTACAGAGAAACTGGATTGCACCTGGGCCTCCCCCGAGAGGGTTCGAGTGTGCTATGTATTAACTGCTTGGGGCTGATAAGTTATGACATGAGCGGTATTAGCTGATGCTTCAATTGTTGCTGACACATGGGCATTTACAGCTGTGGTTGTACCATTATGCGACCGTTCCAATGACGACAACAATGCAGTACAATACAACGTATCACTTCACAGCTCTTGAATTGGGAGCATCAGTTAGTGCAATGATTTCCGAGGTCAAGTCCCTATTGGTTGGAGGCTTATCTGTGTTAAAGAGAAGTTCATACTATGGATTTTGTATGATACCAATGTGTAGTAGAATTTTAAAAATATTTTTAAAGGGGAAGTCAACGCCCAAAATTAAGGTTTGATAATGCCGAAGGTGTGCCACTGCAGGAGGAGATGATTTGAATCCATCCATCCATCCATGCATGCATCCAGGTTGTGGGGGCGACTGGAGACTATCTCAGCTGATTTTGGGTGATTGGTACGCAGTTGACTGGTCACCAGTTAATCACATAGGGCAGAAAGAGCCAGACAACCATTCACACTCACATTCAAGCAACATTTTGAAGTTGGAATGTTTTGAATCGACCAAGTGAATTACAAGTAAAATCCTCACCGTTGAAATTTGGGGATCTATTTAAAAAAAAAAAAAAGTATTAATATTCATGAGCTGAGAAGTTCAAAGTTGGAACCGTTTGAATCGCTCAAAAAATGTAGAACTTGAGAGGGGAGGAAAAACATTGAGGTTTTTATTTTGGAATCAAAAAGATGGCACTAAACAATTTAATGTTGGAACAGTTTAAATGGGTAAAAAAATAGAGATTGCAGGGAAAAATAACTTTTTTTTATTTTTATCTTTGATTTCAAATTTCTGAAATAATTTTGCAGTAGGAATAGGGTTAACAGTTTGGAATGTTTTGATTTGGTAAAAAAAAAAATAGAAGTGGAAAACACACCTCACATAGTTTTACACTTTTATTTTGACATTTTGACAGAAAAAAACCGCAATAGCGACAAGCTGAGCAGTTTACAGTTTGAACAGTTGGAATTGTAAACCCAACATTCATGTATTGGAATGTACCCTGAGAAAATAGAAAGCATACACAAAAATTGCAACCCTGAACCTCAGAATTGTGGAACAGACGTGGTTCCCAATATCCCATTGCACTGCTCGATATGAATTGAATGTAAATGATTTTGTGTTGGAAAATTGCTTGCAGTGTCGATTTTGTTGTTGATATTATTGTTGCTGGATTTGTAACGCTTTTTATCATCCAGCATACGTCATGTGGTTAGTATGCGTTATTTTATTTTGACTGTGTATAGCGGACTGTCTAGTTATGCATCATAAAAGCTTAAGAAGAAATTTGAAAAAAGATTCAGCTGACATGGTGAACGCCGAACGACTCATTCATTTCTTGCAAACAGCGGCTATATTTGTTCTTTTTTTTTTCTTTTGTTCTCTACTTTTTTTTTCTTTCTGACGCCCATTAATAGTCCCACGTGAGCAGCAAGTTAGTGGTTTATATTTAGAGCGCGCATGGGCGTTTGCGTCAGTGGAATCCCGCGAATGCGTCACTCAAATGACGTCGGTGGCCGCCGCCACGTGATTGGCTGCGGACCGGAAACTTGCCCTCCTCTCCTTCCACCGTTTGAGGCACCGTCCCGCCTTGTAGTCTCCACAGCCGGATAAAACGGGCAGCGCATGGTGCGTCCCGCGTGGATCTGAATTGATGCGTGTACGTGTGTGATTGTGTGTGCGCGCGCGCACGCGCGTGAGTGTGAGTGGGCGTGTGCATCAGCCGGGCCTAGTTCAGTCCTTTGGGATACTGTACATGAACAACATCAGAATTTGGATATTTACGTGAATCAGGTCAGTGTTTGATATCTGTCACTTGCAATCATGCTGTTTGCTTCACTTAATCAATATTTGATATCAGTGATAATGACGTGATAAATGGCTAGAAAAGTCCTGCAAAAAAAAAAAAACATTGAAAGAACATTTCAGTTGTTTTCTGTTTCAGCTCAACACACTCAATCAAATCTAGAGATTATTGTGACATATCGGGATCAACTTTGGGTTGTTGAAATCTTATAAGATGATGAAACAATGCTATGCACACTATGCACATTTGTACAATTTTAGGTAAGCATTTCTACACAGTCTCAACAAAGTTCCAAGAGTGAGTCTAAGCCCTGGTGTTAAAAACTAAAAGCCAAGTCTTAACCTTCAAGCCACACCTTAAAGGTCTCTCGTTGTGGGCCGATTGAACCATCACTTTCCAACAATGTCCTCACAGTGTCCTGAATCGGCCCTCAAAGAGACACCTGTGCAAGTACACACACACACACACACAGACACACACACACACACACACACACACACACACACACACACACACACACACACACACACACACACACATTAAACACACAGGCATTACCAGGCTTTGCCACCCTTCCCATTTCACATGGCACTGGGCCCTTCTTGTAATACAATCTGCAACACTCCCTGGTTTAGTCCCTGTGAAAGAGGGTTGCCCTCCACTCAAGGTTCCTAAGAACACGACCAGCCAGTAACACAATATCTGACAGCATCTGACGGCTCCGCTGGACCGACGGCTACACTTTCTAAAGAGGGCTGAGATGCCTTGAAGCCAAGGAGAGGGCATAATGGGAAATAAAGCATTCAAGGGGATAATAAAGGAAACAGAAGGCGGGTGTGGATTACTGACGAGAAGGAATACAGCGCAGTCTCTATAGACAAACAATCCGGGATCTTGTTTCAAAACAAAATTTCCCATAGGAAATAATGGGAGCAGAAATAATCTTTTCGAGGGTCCAGTGTCACATTTGTTGAACCGATTGTACAAGAAATGTTTTCAGTAACAATTTGATACAAGTGTAAAAATAAGCTAATGAAAGTTAAAATTCCGCCCTAAAGTGTGAGTTAACAACCCCCACCCCTGAAAAAAACATTTTTTTTGTTATATTGTTTAAAACAGTCATTATGATTAGAATCGGTGCACCTAAGGGGGCCCAGTCACACCGAGCCCCACCCAACAACTACCCCACCCCCCACCTAAAATTTAAGTAAAATACAGTTTGCTGGGCACACACCAGACGCATGTAAAACAAACAGAAAAAAAAACATTACAGCAGCTCCCACCAACCACCCAACCCCACCTAAAAATATTTAGGCGGCATCATCCCCTGGATTTGACGGTAGTACATGATAAATATAATCTGTGAAATAATCAGACGTCTCTGGCCTTGTACCTCTAATTTGATACTCAAGAAACCACTACACTTGAGGACAAACAACCAATCAGGTTGGACTTAAATATTGTCACTCATTTGTCACACACTCGCGGGAACACTCATCGTAGCCACACTCCCTGCGACCTCGGAAAAAATAAAACTTCCACATTTGAGTTATACTAGCACTCTATTATGAATTAGTTGCTCTTACACTTGGAGTCACCAAGAGGTTGCGGCCATCTTCTGAAAAGAGCTCAGCAGTGATGGGACATTGTGATTTCCTTGGAATGTTGTAGAAATGATCATGTGAAAACACAAACGCTTGCGGTGGTTTAGCGAAACAAAGTGGTTCGTGCTGATATTTATTTGGGCCCTACCTTGATACATCCACATTGATCACACTGATCAATTTTTTTTTTTAAATTCGAGACGCAAGTACACTTTTTGAGATTTTGTTTTGCGCTGATTCAGAATCTGCCCTTGTTTTTTCACCAAGTTTTCATTATAACAACAACAATAATAATAATAATAATAATAATAATAATAATAATCATAATAATAATAATAATGAAAACATGATATGTAATTTAGTAATATATTTAGAAATACCTATGAATTGAGGGTTCGCTTCATCAACTTTTATTTTTAATTTTTAAAAAAGTATCATAGCTGTAAATTACACTGCATGGTAAAAAAACAACATATTGCACAACTTTTTGCAGGTCAAACTCAAAAACAAAAAATGAAAATTGCTCAAAAACCTGACGTGAGAGAAAAAAGTAAAACCATTAAAAAAAACTGCGTAAACAATACATTTAGGGTCACATAGAGCCATCTCTGATTCATATTTCATGTTCATCAGTGTAATTAGTGAGAAATGATTAAAATGGTCAGTGGCTTCACACGGATGAATCACATTGTTGTCTCAACGTATGATTAAAGGTCATTTGAGCACATTTTAAATTGAAGAAGTGTGCCACAAACTGCTGGCATTAACCAGTCCCCAAGAAATAACTCACAGTGATCCCCGTCTTATAGTTTTGCTGACGCCTCACGTATCACTGTAACCCATGTACGGTGGCACTGAACCGCATTTGTGTGATTTAGTGCCAAACTACTCCGATGCGGTAACGAAGATATTTGCGTGGCACACGTGGCAGCGGTTTTGAATTTGTAACATTTTCAAAGCATGACTGAACCTGACTTGTCTTCCACTTGCGCTTTGTTTCACCTGTACTAACCGATGTCATTGTATGCCCCAGCAATGCCCTGTGTACAAACGCAGCATGTATCCCTGACCCATGACACCCACTTCAGCACCGACTTCTTAAACCCTGACCCGGGTGCCAAACTGGCGATGGACGTCGGTGGCCAGAAGGAGCAGCTGTCGACGTCGTTGTTACCCAGCATCAATACCTTAGTGGGAAGTGGCTACATTGGGGAGTTTGATGCTTTTTCCTGCAAGATTCCCGCCTCGCCTTCCACGTCTACCGTTTCATTTGGCCACACCTCGGTCGCTGAAAGTTCAGACTGTCAGATGCAGAACCAAGCCTACAAGCTCGATGACCTCCAAGTGTATGGCTGCTACCCAGGCTCATTTACACTCAGCTGCCTTGATGAGACGCTGTCGTCATGCGGCTCCGACTACTACGGCAGCCCAGGGTACCCCGCCGCTTCCCCTCCGACATCAGGCTTTCAGACACTATGTGCACCTGTATGGGATTCCCCTTTCAGCACTTACAATCCAGCCCCCCCAGCTGATAAGCAAGCCTCCTTTTTCCACTTTAGCCCCACGCCGGAGCAGCACTCTCCCGTGGTGCCTCACCAGGATGCTCAGCTTGGTCAGGACGAGCCTTTTTTTATGTCCCCTCAGCAACAAGTGTCTTCGCTCCATTGCCCCGTCATGTCCATGGAGCATGGCGCCAGGCTCGTCGAGGGGTCTCCCAAAATCCACAACCCGGCTTTGAGCGAGGGCCGCTGCGCCGTGTGCGGAGACAACGCATCCTGTCAGCACTACGGTGTCCGGACGTGTGAAGGCTGCAAAGGTTTCTTCAAAGTGAGTGGATGGAAAGCGCTGCCGATTGCATTTTGTTCTTAATTCTGAGACATACAAACAGAAATCTATATCTTTGATATCACATTTTCACATAATCAGCGCTACACAGGACACAACTCACTTCAGATCAAGCGGCACTTTTGGTGAGCAATCTTCCAAAAAGAAGCTTCAAGTTGTTTATTGCCACTCCCAGTTGATGTTTACCGTCACTAATCATGAAAGAAAGGGAGTGACTAGTTGTGTATTTAACCACATAGCTTTGCCATAATGCAGCCTGTTTACCTTAATGCGAACAAACAATGCTAGCAAACAACATACAATGCCATATGCATATATTTGAACACACACAGTGGAGCAAACACATGTAGACAGACAGTGAAACAATTCTCACAGGCATATTTTTTATCCTTTCACGAAAAAGAAAAACAACTAATATTTTGGCAGTTTTTCCGAGCCATTGCACACAAGAAGGAATAGCACAATATCCACTGAATTGAAGCAAACAATGTGGCAAAAAAGATGTTTAATACTATTTCATTTTCCTTTTTTCAAACTCTAATTGACGCATTTAATTATGTCATTATGGATTACAGCGTTGTCAAACTCGTATTGATCGCAGGCCGCGCCATAGTTATGATTTCCTTCGTTGGGTGACTGTGAGTCCGAATAAATGTTTGATCGCCTCATATCACATCCACACAAAAATTGCTGAATAACTACTTTTGAAATCAGAGGCCAGTAAAAATTTCTAATTTGCTTAAAAAGGGGGACTGGGAAACAAAGGCTTGCAAAATCTCAACGTTTTCAAAAGTAAAGACTATTTGCAATTTTCTAGCACAAAACATGAAGTCGATGCTCATAATTTGCTTTCGTGGGCCATATAAAATGATGCAGCACGCCAGATTGGCCTTTGGCCTTGATTTTGACACCTGTTTATATTAGATATTAAATACCATCGAAGCTAAAAGGAAATGATCATTCCAACAAAGAAAATACATTAGAACAAAACAATTCATACATTTTTATTGACTAACATGATTTTCATTTGTTGATTTGGGAAAAAAAAAAAAATCACACAATTCATCTTTCATTGTTAGGCTTGCAAAGTCCATTCTGGTAACCAAATATAGATCCTTGCCCAATAAAGGACTACTATTGCTACTGTAATTTTAGCATGACAAACAATACAGCTGTAGTGATATTATCCCCCCCTCTCTGCCTCCCCCACTGCTCTGATTGACAGCGAACTGTGCAGAAAAATGCCAAATATGTTTGCTTGGCTAATAAAGACTGTCCAGTGGACAAGAGGAGGAGGAACCGCTGCCAGTTCTGTCGTTTCCAGAAATGTCTTACAGTGGGAATGGTCAAAGAAGGTAAAGTAACATCAGCCTCACTTGGAGTTTTCACTGACTTACGCATGATGATGGCTAAACTATGGTTTGTAATAACAATCTTATGAAACCAAAGCTCGGCATGAAAGACACATACACGTTAGTGGAGATTTACAATGCCAGCTGCAGAAAGAAATGGATATACTATAGCAGCTGTTCCCCCCCCCCCATCCCCCAAGTGTTTAGCGCAGCCATGTGAAGGACACAAGCGTGCACTTGAAAGTCTTCCTCTCATCTTTGCTGTCCCTAGTTGTTCGAACTGACAGCCTGAAAGGTCGCCGAGGCCGTCTGCCATCCAAACCGAAGACGGTGGCTGAGGCTTCCTCCACCACCCCTCCCAGTGTCAACATCATTTCCTTGCTAGTACGCGCACATTTAGACTCCAACCCGACCATCGGCAAGCTTGACTACTCCAAAGTAAGTGCTCACGTCTCGCTAGTTTGCGTTCATCTTCGTTTTTCTGCGCTTTCACCATTTTTTTTTCAGTGATTTACATTGTTCCAAAGATGTCCATGTTTAATTCTGGAGACAAGTCACACAATAATGGACACAATATTAACCCTTTCATGCACCTGTGACCCGATAACATGATAAGCCTCTCACTGAAAGGGTTGAAATGCCTGGAGCCCATTTTTATGGAATGTAGGGGTTAGGGTTGGGTGACGATTATTGTTAGGGTTAGGTTCGCAGGTTTTTGCGTTTTGTTTTCTTCCAGTTTTCATTGCAATGTGGAAGATGGCGCCTGACATTTCTCAATGGTCGGCGATGTGAACGTCTCATTTGTCTGCATAACCGCATACCAAAGTGTCCTGCCTGTTTCTAAAAACGTACTGCAGCAAGGCGTTGAGAATTTTGCTCCACTGTGACTGAACAACGGGATGCTGGTTGATGGGGTGGCAGCAGAGATTTGTCCAAGTGTCAGCATGTGCCTTGGCGATAAAGTGCTCAAAAATACCATCCAGTGGATTTCCTTTTTTTTGCCTCATCTTGTTGCAACAGATTAGCTCGACCCCTTGGCCATCACGATAAAATAAAATATGCAAATGAGTGAATAAAGTATTATAAAGCCCGCCTCCTCTTGCTCCTCAGTACCAGGAGACAGTGGACAAGGTTTCGGAGAAGGAGGACGCTGGTGACGTTCAGCAGTTCTACGACCTATTGACTGGATCATTGGAAGTCATAAAAACCTGGGCGGACACGATCCCGGGATTCTCCGACTTTTGCACAGAGGACCAGCAGTTACTTCTTGAATCTGCCTTTGTTGAGCTGTTCATCCTACGCCTGGCATACAGGTTAGCTGCATTTCAAAATCAATTGTAGTGTGCGCCACTACGCCTATTTGTAATAATACTAGGGCGGAACGATTAATTGAATTCAGTCCGATAACGCAGTGGTTGTAGATTGCGGTTTTCAAATTACAAAGACGCCATGCTTCAAATGTCATCACCTCCCACTCACCCGCCTCTCTCACACACTTTCGTGGGGCACACGTCAATAGATAGTGTCATTTACGTTTCCTGTCATGGAACATGGTCCATAAGTCATTGTTTAACATACCATTCACAGTTATGATTTCTTGAAATTAAATGCACACATACCGAAATTGACCAACACACTCATAATACAAGTAAGGATGCAGTAAATGACACTTCAGCTGAGCTTGATCTACGAGATCGTTTGTGTTTCTTTTCACTTTGTTTGCTTCGGTCACTTTCCGTTTCTGACTTTATAGCTAACAGCCAGTCGGAATGATCAGTTGTCACCAATGGCCGACGCTATTTCTGCGCAATCGATCTGGCAAAAAGTGCTCACCAATTGACGGCTCGTTCATTCAAGTCTCATCGAAGAAGGATGCTCTTCATATGCACAAACATAACTGATAAATGTCATCAGGTAGCAATTCTTGAAGAGTTTCTCGACAGAAATGATAAACACGTACATTCCTTGGGGAAATTTTTATCGATTTTATACCAGCACTTCACCCCAAAAAGTAATAAGGTCAGATGCATAGAATTTCAATTGTCACAACTGTCACAAAAATTTCATGCGGAAAGAGTACAGGACAGAAAAAGAAAACAGCACTCATGGGTGAAGATCTGCCATACAAAACAATTTCCAAAAATAATCTTTTCCGTTCTCATTTACGACACATGATAATCGCCTATGAAATCGCAATCGCAACATCGAGGAGAAAAATGACATTTTTTTTCCAAAGCGTTCAGATCTACTTAAATCGGTATCTCAATCCATTCCAACAATTTAACATTTTTCCAGGTCAAATCCCGAGAAGCACAAATTGATCTTCTGCAATGGCGTGGTCCTCCACCGAATGCAGTGTGTTCGTAGTTTTGGCGACTGGATCGACTCCATCATGGATTTCTCCCAGAGCCTTCATCGAATGAACTTAGACGTCTCGCTGTTCGCGTGCCTTTCGGCGCTCGTCATCATCACCGGTACGGCCGTTTGTTTCCTTCTCACGGTCAACCACAGCGCATCGGTTACATGCTCGGGCCGCGTTTCTCATTGCGTGACTCACTCGTCGTCTTTTGACTCTTAGATCGACACGGCCTCAAAGAACCCAAACGTGTTGAAGACTTCCAGAGCAACCTCATCTCATCTTTAAGGGAGCACGCCAGTGGAAACAGATCGGAAACAAGCCGAACCCAGCCCAATTATCTCTCTCGGCTTCTGGGTAAGCTCCCGGAGCTGAGGACTCTTTGCACACAGGGCCTGCAGCGCATCTTCTACCTAAAACTGGAGAACCTCGTCCCCCCTCCGCCTATCGTGGACAAAATCTTTATGGATACCCTCCCATTCTGAATCCAAACGCGCACAGGAGAAGGAACGCACCTTATGTGATTTTTGTGGTTTTGCTGGTGCTATAAAGCACTTGACTTGTCACCAAATAATGGGGACCCTCTCGACAGCGCCGGTCTTTAATCATGCATGCGGAATTTTTAAAGATTGGCACCCCATGGAACCATTAGAGGTGTAAAACAGCACCAAGCACTCTGAAGAACCACCTCTGTGTGTAATGTTGACTATTGAGATGTCTTCATGTTGCATTATGCGCCATGCTATCCGTTCGGGTGCTACAAAGTGACCCGAAACTGATATTAGTGGTCATATAATATGAGCGTGCATTTGTAAAAGGACTTTATTGCTGTGCTAAATGTGTAAATGTTGCCATGCTATGCAACTCAAAACAATGTTGGCTATGCAGTGTCGATGATCAACCAAACACGCAAATCTCGTTTTCCTGCCCGTCGATCCCACTGGAAACAAGACAAGTCATGCGTTGGAAGGTAAAATGGACATTGTGCAAAAGGGGTTTCAAAAGGGAGACACAACGGTAGTTGTGGAAGGGCCAAAGTTTACACCTGTTATGATAAAACATAGTTTAGTCATGATCCTTATGGCCGTAAATGACAGACAATGTTCCGCCATTACTTTATTGTTGCCGTTTCCGACATCTTTTAAAGCTGATGCTGGCAGGCTTCCAGTCTACACTCATACAAACACATGCAAGTATTCAATTTAAACCTTTCATGCACCCTGTAACCTGATAACATGATAAGCTGTCCATTGTAGTAACCGCTGTCCCTCAAAGGGTTAAAAAAAAGTGCCTTGCAAAAAACTCCTCAACCCTCCCGCTGAGCTCGTGTGACTCAATGTCAATGTCATTTCGAATATCACAAACGAGACGATGACAAACTTGAATTTGAAAAAGCTTTTGACAAAAAGTGCCTGAAGCAACTGTCAATAAAGTTGTACAAAAAGTACATGCAGTAATATGTGAACATTGCACAGCGTGAGCGTATCAAGTAAGGCGAGGTTGTTTTTGTCTTTTTTTTTTTACCGTAGGGATCACATGAATGAATTTCTACAAATGAATCAGTAATTCAAAAGACGTTTTCAAGCCATTTTATAATTCGAATGGGAGGATCTTGCGGAGTCAGACATTTCTTTTATTGACTTCTTGTTCTTTAGCTCAGCCTCAGACAATAATTTCCGGGTCCGCCCTTTCAGGTGTGATGGATAAATACAACAAAATAATATGATATGACCTCCATGAAAACTGTGGTATTTTCGAAACATAATAAAAAAAACGAATCATGACACCTGAGGAACGTTGCTCTGGTCGCTATGGTAATGTTTAAACGTGCCTTCAAAATAAGATACATCACAAATACAAAGGTACATCAAAAATACGACTAACCATCACCAGTGGACTCGGTGTGCAGGAATCTCCTGTTGAGATAAATCCGTATTTTAAGTAGGACTCCTGATACTGTCGTTTAAATGTAGCCTTCTTTTACTTGAAAGTCATAGGCTTCTGTCTCTGCCTCTTCTGTCTCCTGGCTGGGCCTTTTTCCCTTCCCAAAGACGTTTGTTTTTTACTAATTTTGCTAGCTCCTGGGTTTCATTTTAGCGGTAAGCTATCACATGACCGAGAAGCACGCCTTGACCTGCGTCAAGAGTGACATAATGTAGACGAATGTAGTAGAGAATCCGGTAATTTTTCAAAATAAAATATTCTTCGGATTCGGATGTAAATAAAACGGAGGTAATGTAAGTTATTTGACCGGTACCGGTCCGCGGCCCGGGGGTTGGGGGCCGCTGCCTTAGCCTACCAAAATGAACACTGACCAGTTTGTGTCTGATCATGTCTCGCACATTCTTCTGTTGTGTGTTTCTTTCTCATTATTTCCCCCTTGAAGTCAGCCACGCTAATATCTTATAAAATGTCACCGGGATATTAGGAGAAACTGTGCACAGCCGAGATCTCTACAAACAATGTGCAACCCAGAGAGATACAATAGATTTAATTTTCCATTCAGGGGGAAGGGAGATTTTCATGACGCGAAAGTGTTCACATGGAGTATATTTGATAATCAATTCTGAAAATGTGTTACAGAGTGCTTTTATTTTGCGGGTTGAATGTAAAACGAGCATTTGTAAAATGAGCGTCTCAAAGGCACCTAATATTGATTCACCTGTGCACAATTTAGAGTCCTCATTTACTTGCTCGTTTTGGGAAATGTGGGAGGGAGCCGGAGGAAAAACCACACAAGCAGAAGTTGCAAACCCCACACACGTGGGCCTGAGCTGAGATTCAAACCTCCCGTCTGTGAGGAACAGCAGTTTTAAAGAAAACCAGTTTTCACATTGACTGACTTAGACATTAGATTTGCACTGACATAAAACCTACTGCGATCTACTAAATGTTATCAAGCTGGCCATGTCAATAAAACATTTTCCTCCCCTACCAGAGGAAGAAGTCACGGTTACGCTGTCCTCATCTACCCGATACTTGATCCTTCTGTACACCGAGATATAGTTGTCTGAGCTTTGCTGCTGGCAGACTGCGTGGAAACAAGAGCAGAACCCTTTTGATTTTTTTTTTTTTTTTTTTGCCCCTCAAAAGTGCCATCCGGATTTGTTGTCTGCCGCTCAACTTTAGAACCCTCAGCATTCGGACACAGACTGTGGACCCTGAACATACATGGAATTATGTTCACACCATGCGTGCATGCGTGGAGATGTCATATGTATATGGAAATACATAAGATAAGAAGATAAGAAAACCTTTATTTGTCTCACCATGAAGAAATGTGTTGCGTTTTGCATGAGCAGCTACTGTTAAAGCAAAATGCTGTCCACAAAAAAAAAAAATAAATAATGATAAATATCTCAGGATTTTATAAGCGCAGGAGGGCCGGTTGCCCATTTTGCAAGTAGGCTTTTGTTATTTCAAAATCCATCTCACAGGGCAACAGGATTTAAGGTTCGAATAATGTTGACAACAATTACTCATTATATTTCATGTAGACGCTCACATTTACCGCCCACATTATTGATCACAGATTGCAGTTTGCTTTTAATGGTATTGTAGTGTAGTCATTCGCTGTAATTCAGATTTAAACTTCAAATAGTAGTAGCCTATTGTTGGTCAACAAAACAAGTTTGTTTTCTTGTCATTTGAATTGACACCGAAGGGGCATGAGACAGCTTTGTGTTGACAAACTCAAACATTTACATGCATTGCTCTGTTTTAAATAGCAAATACTTTTGTAGTCACTACAGTGGTGGGCCAATGTGGAGGAGTATCCCGACATCCCACACGACTCGCTCGATGATTATTATCTTTAGATTCATTTCGGATGATCCAGCGAAGCAAATCCCATAAATGCGCACGGAGAATTTGCGTGTGTTTGAGGGAGAGGCTGACAATGTTGTCGCAGTGGGAAGAAAGCTAATAGGTTTGCTTGTGAGGATGTTGCACCTGTCGTTTATTGACGGACTGAGCTGCAAATAACTTTGGGAAGCTGCTTTGTATTCCGTGGGGCCATCGCCGCGTTGGAATTATTCCTCTTTCATTTCCAGTTATGTCAAACCTACAAATGTGCATGTTCTACTGCCATGGCATGTTGATTAATACACTCATATATTTGGACGTATATAATGGCGCTCGTCACTTTGCAGCGTGGGTGTGTTATTGAGCGTGGAAAACCCTCTGCGAGTTTATTTATAGCCGGCCATTGTTGAGCCCATAGAAACGTCCGTAATTTGATCTGGGCTTTCTCACCGAGAGAGTCTGCTGATAAATGACTTGGCAGACGTCAATAGTCACGCCAATCCCCCCCACTCCCCACATCACCAACTAAAGCTCTTTTGCTCCCCGACGTATTAACTTCTAAGTGAATTATCATTCTCCGGTGGAGGATTGGTTGCTGGGGATCTGTTTGCACCTCGCCTATTAAATGTCTGTTGTTGTTGTGTCTTTGGTGTAAATCTACGAGTTTGACAGTGATGCACTTGACCGGTGTTATTTTCTACTCTTCCTTTTGCATATGCCAGGACGATTACCATCTTGAGAAGCAAGTCATTCACAAAACATCAAATTTCAAGTTAATCTGCAGTGAATTTGACAACAAACCTCATTTGAGGGCAATCAGCAAAGATCATGATGACAACGTAAAAGTGTTACTTAGATAATAAGACAATATATGAAGAAACAAATACTGTATACTAATGTCCAACTGTTGAGAGTTACCCACAAATTGGCCTTCCAATGTTCTGTTCTTGTACATTATTGCCCTGTCGCTGTTAATTAAACATAACAGGTTACATAATCCGCCTTGATAGAATTGAAGGCTATTTATGCCATTTAAAATAGAAGAGTAGGAGCCGAGACGGGCTCATTCCCACATTTTGCCATGTAGACGTGCACAGTACCTGCATAAAGTTCCCTTTTATATTCTTAGGGAGCACAAATAGCCCAAGCTTTGGCAGTGTGGTTAAAAAGAAGTCGCTCATAATTATATCTCATCACAATGACCTAGTATCTTGTAATTATGACTTATCTCTTAATTGTTACATAGTATTTCCCAATTATGGCGTGGAATTTGCATATCTTAAGAAATGAGATCGTTTAAAAAAAACTCAGTTTTTTTTTTCTTTTGAATATGGGAAATATGGACACATGAATATTGCAAGCTACCCTTTTTTTAACTCTATGGGTTTTTTTTCACAGTCTATTAAAACACATTGTGTGTATTTTTGTCATATATATATATATATATATATATACTATAAAACAAATGTTAATTGTTTATTTATTTCTAGTTACATTGAATATACAGAAACTTATTCTTCCCATGGCAAAAAATCAATTTTCACTCTGTTGTTTGGAGTTTTGTGCTTACCGAACGTTATGAAATTGTGTGGAACTGATCGGTAAGAAAATATAAATTAAAGACAAAATGATGAACGCCAATTGTAATGCAGTGTATGTAGATAGCCCGTTCCAAATTGTAATATCACTGCTGCTCGAGAAGCACAGCAAGAGATAAAAAGGATATCTGTTTCTGTATGTGTTCATGTGCGCTTCTCACTATGTTGGAAACTTCTCTCTGCTCAGCCAAAAAACATGAGAATGTTACGATTATAAAACGAGACTGACAGGACAGATCGTGTTTCACTGGCAGATGACGGTTCCTGGCCCAGAAGTTATTCACAGCAAAGCTCCCCCCTACCACCACTAATACACACGTACACACTCTTCAGAGAGCCCCCAACACAAGGATCAAGTGCAATGCAAGGGTGGCAGAGTGCATGTGTGTGAAAGGAAGGAGTTCAAGGTCAGAACAAACACATGGTGCACAAAGCAGCAAACTCAGTTGGTGGTCTGATGGATAAGATCATCAAATATCTGCAGAAATCCAAAATGAAAACGCTCTCCTCAAAATGGATTTCAAATGTGTTTCACCGATATATGCTACATGTATCTCGACCACATTGACATACCTCTTCAGAGCAACGCTTTCTGTTTCTTCTCCTCGAGTGGTGTTGGAAGCGACAACGTGTCAAACAAGTCCGTGGAAACAAGAGCGGCTGTTAAAAATAGCGGCGCAAATATTTTCTGTCAAAAGTCTTCATACTAGCAGCCGTGCGAATTTGCATTATGCATTCGCACCGGCTTGTTCACCGGCATCTGTGCACCTTAGTCTTATGTTACTTGGGCTTGTACGTGTGGGGTGAGTAGGTGAAAGTCTACTGCCTCCACAGCTATCAGATGCTAACCGCATTATCCACCGCTGACACCTATTGAGTGCATCGTTTTTTTTTAAAACATACTGTATAGCGTAGATATTTTCATTTTTATTGCCATGTGCGGTATCTTGTATATGTTAGCAACCTGACACACATGATGGTGTTACACGCGTAACCAGAGGACAGTATTTTAAGAGAGATATTAATAGAGACTGTCTGGCAAAGAGCAGGGACTTTCAAAATAAAACTTGAGACTTGACTGGTTGGTCACATCGACTTTCAGCATGAGTAAAATACACTGAGCGTGAACTATGTAACAAAAACAACTGAAACTAATCTTTTTGAGGAAGCATAGTCGGCATGAAATAGTGTTTGAGATACTTTTTCAAGTTCAGCTCAATGTTTTTCCAGAGCAAAAAAAAAAAAGTTTGTTTGATGACGTTTTGCATTCAATGCAGTTTTCAGTGCAATGATATTAAGCCACAAAGTAACAGTTTAACTGATTCAGTTCCGGCCATTTTACAGTATTTTGACATTTTCAAGAACATTCTAGATATTGTGCTAAATGAATCTCCCAAATGAAAGAATAGTCCCCCTCCTGTTGATCTTTTTTAATCAGTGGTAGGAAGAAAAAAAAAAACATTGCACAAAATGGAGCCGTTTGTCCCAGTGGACTCACATTTGGGCTGATCTCATATCCAAAATGGGGTATCGATGTCATTTAATTGTGTTTGTTTCCAGGTTTGAAATTGTGGAACGGCATCAGACGCTCACCCGACCCATCCCTGTAGTTGACAAGTACACTCGTCAATGGCAGTGAATTAAATGCCCCCCCCAATGCAATAAAATTGCTCACATCAGAAGTTGATTCCTCTCACAACAATTTGTACTCATTGTCATAGAAGTAATCTAACATCATGGGGGACCACTAATAAATATGAATGTGCGGGCATGCTGGAGACAATCATAAATCATCATTTTCAAACAAATTTACAGAGATCCATTGATCATTTCCCCTGATGACTTTTGTGTGGTAAAAATCCATGATAAGATTCATAAATCTCGCACAGTATTGAAATTTCTCACACAAGTCCCTTTTGATGTGTGCTACCAAGACTCTGTTCTGAATTTGTTGTTCCACCGCCATCCACACCGAAGCCGTTTTGTAAAGATGTGATTAGAGTGAGGCTCCCCACGTTCCTTAGACAGAGTTATATAAGTGAAGTGGACTGCCAAGTCCGGTGGGATCACAAGGTGCTGGCTGTAAACTCAGAGGGAGTGGGGTGAGAGGGGGTGGCGAGGGGGGAGTCTGAGCACTCATGTGGATGGATGTCAGAGAAAGTAGTCTGCCACCCATCGGACTCCGTCGTATTAAACAAGGTTTATTTTTAAACCAATATCAGCCTCAAGCAGCAGTTCCATCCATTCGTCTTAATAAAGCATATGACACAGACTCACATTCCAGTACTGGACATCATGTGACCAGAAGCACCTTAATCATGCTCTTTGAGATAAACTAACAGATTTGGAATTGGTTTGGATTTGGCAAAACAACATTTCCCATGGAAAGTAATGAAAAAATCAATGAATTTGTTCCATGGTCAAAATATCAAAATAAGAACATTTTTAGTCACTGTAACAGGCAATGTATCTTTCTTCCATTCATCCATCCATTTTTTTTTAATCTGCTTATCATCACAAGGGTTGCGGATGTGCTGGAGCCTCTCCCAGCTGTCTTCAGGCAGTAGGTGGGGGACACCCTAAACTGGTTGCCAGCCAATCACAGGGCATACACACGAGTGTGTGTGTGTGTGTGTGTGTGTGTGTGTGTGTGTGTGTGTGTGTGTGTGTGTGTGTGTGTGTATTTCAAACACACACTTTCATTTGTGTTGTGATCTAGGTTCTAATATTGAAAAAAATGATGCCATCATACTATTTGTCAATTGATTCATTTGGACAAAGATGAAGGATTTTTGGCTTTGCACTCCCAAAATGGTTTTGGAATAAATTTCTAAGACATCAAGATGTGGTTTAGGAGGGGGAATTCCAGCTTTAATTGAAGAGGTTTTAGGGACTCAAAAGCGTCACACTGAAATTGTCGTTGTCCGATGTAACAATGACATTTGTCGGATTTTCTCTATGTACGTTCCAGGTTCATGCTGGAAGAAAAAAAAACCAGAAAGCTGTTTGCCCAAAAATGGTCACAACTTTCCAAAATCCTGACACTGACGTTATTCTGATGTTGTGTCACATAACAACAGATTGCGGCGCCTGCTGTGACGTTCTAAAAATATTTTCCGTACTCTTATTTAACCGATGAGGTCCTCTTTCAACAAAATGCTTTTAACTTCCTTATTCTCCTGAGCCACTTCCCTTTTGCTTGATAACTTCTAGTCAGTGGAACACGAGAGAAACAACCACAATGGTTTGAATTTATATCACAAATGTTTTGGGCTCTTCCGGAAGTGCTTTATAAGATGGAGGCTGGTTTAGAGAAGTGACTGTTTGGAGCCGTGGCAGTCGATCGCATGACAGGTCAGTAGATGTTTAATTTAATACACACTCAGTGGAAACTACTATTGCAATAAACCACTCAAATATTTGGCCCTCTTGTGTATGCTAATACTGTAGCGCAGTTGTACACGTCTAACTACTGACTGAGTTTCCCCCACAGCATTATTGACAGTGAATCTATCGCTGAAATCTCAGAATTCCTCAAGGAGTGAATTAAGAATGATAAAAGTACACGTCATCCTTCCGCAGAAAGAAATTCGAGTCATGTGTAATTGACGGTTTGCTTCGTGGTGTTTCATTGAGATGATTCGTTCATTTGTCAAGAGCAGCGGCGATGTGAGCGAGTGGGTAGCACATCTGCCTCGCAGTACGTACATAACTGCAGATTGGAAGTTGAAATCCTGACTTCCTGTGTGGCGTTTGCATGTTCTCTGCGGCTTTTCTCAAGTGACCGGTTACCTCCCACATTCCTTGAGGTAATTGAAGACTTGTCACTCGGTGTGAACATGCGTGGGACTGGTTGCTTGTTTGTGTGTCTTGCCTCTTACCGGAGATAAACTGGGATCGGCTCCAGCTCACTGACGACCACAGTGAAGGTAAACGGTACAGAATACGGATGGATGGGTGTCATCTGTGCATTTATGAGCATCTCAAAATACCAATTTCTAGGTCATACACTTAAGATGAACTCAATGTTTCACCCCAGCGATCCAAATCCACTTTATACTTCATGTTTAGTCAGTGTCCAGGCTTTGTTAATGATATCATATCCCCCTTATTAATCACTCTAACTGCTCCTAAAACTAAGTGTTGTCAATAAAAATGAAAGTTGGCAAGCATAGTCTTCCTCAGAATATACTTGAGAACATCCTTCCTGAGAACGCTACTCTGTTTGTAATTGCAATGGCAATACACTTGTGAAACCCCACCTGATGTATTTCGGTAAAGCCATTTTGATTGCAGCACGAAATGCATCTTGGTATATTTTCCCAGACAAGTCTTCACAAGTAACCAACCGATGCATGCTTCTTTTAAGATAACAGAAAAGAATAACATCCGCCAAATTCGGTGAGTTCTTTGCTTTATGCCGACTTTCAATTGGAATGTGACTTGGACCAGAACTGGTGATGGTTCACAAGACCACGAGGATCAAAGAACGGACGGACAAGAGGGCGAATTGACAAACGATTTATATTTACTTTTTTTTTTTGGTGACGTCCTGTGCTTGCCACATGTTTTTGCTTTTGGGTGTTCATCTGCTATTCTGTCCACATGTAACGGTTTCTTTCGACTGTGGTGACAAAACTCAAAGTGTTAAAATCCTCATCCAACTAAGCCATGTGATTCCACAGCTGCAGACCGGTGACGTGAGATGGACGCCGCATACAGAGAACTTTACCAGGAGTTTGTTCGCCTGAGATCTCTTTGCCTCAGGCAGGCTGCTCTGTTACATAGTCTCATGACAACTCTACAGAAGGCAAAAGGTTCAGCAAAACAGTCCAAAAAAAAAAAAATAAAATAGATCTCACGATCCATCAAGATGACTCAGTAAAAGTGTTTGTCTGCAGATGCTCCTAACGGAGACTCGACTGCCGAGCGTATCCGAGAAATCCCGACGCATTTCCAAGGAAACCCAATAAGTGCGCCCAACCCTGCAGCAAAGTGTGACGTGTATGCGCTCGCCGCAAATGAGAACACATCTCATCCCTTGGCTGAAGATATGCGCAAGTTCAGCATGAAGGCGCCTGAGGGCAAAGCGCAACAAAAGATGTCCTCAGGAGAGGACCTTGTGACAGCAAAGTTCTGCTGTGATCCTCCAAGTGGAGGCGGGAGCCACCAGGACTCAAAGAGGGTAAATCAACCACATTGGGAGACATCATTTCGTCACACCAACACATTGTTTCGCATATTTACTTGTAAAAATGTGTTTACCTCAGATGTCTCTGTCAGACCGTCAATTCCTTGGCTTTGACCTCCCAAGTCTTCCAGGTAGATTGCTGATGTCCGACGTGGCTCTGCAGTCTTACGTGTGCGACTTCTGCCAGGCCGTTTTTCCAGGACACACAACCACCAGGGGGGACTTCCTGCAACACCTCCACAACCACGTCACCTAGTTACTGCCGCCAAGAGCACGGCATGAAAGATGAGGTTGAATTTCCTCTCTATGAATCCGAACACAAGCTCCAATCAAAACATGGCAAAGGGTTGCTCAAAACTGAGCACAATTGAATTTGCAAAGGCGAAATCAAACTGTTGCACTCTTAACCCTGTCATGCACCAATAATGATAAGCTGGAACCTGATCACATGATAAGATGTCCACTGTAGTAAATGCTGTCCCTGAAAGGGTTAAAACCCTCATTAGGGTTTTAATGAGGGAGAACTATTGAAGCACTCTAAAAACAGCTGGGTCAAAAATAAACCTAACCAAAAAGCAGACAACTCAAGGAAAATAAAACATCAAAAAAACAAAATTGTCGTAAAACTACAATACAGTGAAACTCCTCTACAACGAAATCATGTTTGCGGCAAGACGTTTTTCACAACAGGGGACTTTTCACTGTAGCAAATTTTATCTCAGACGTAAACACGAACACACACAAAAACGTACATGTGTACTTTTTTGTTTTTATTCCAATAGGGCATAAGTATGAGCATACACTTATTTGGCACTTCATATAGCCAGCGTAGAAAGAAAAAAAGGGGAAGAAATTGCAAAATTTACAATCAGTATTTACTTTCATTTACATCAATTTCTTGCATAATGTCTTTTTATTTTGCTTCTTCCATCTTTCATTTTTATTACCTTTATCCTGTCTTTAAGCGTTAAAGCTTTTCTTTTCTGAACTCCTTGGTATGCAAAGGTCCGTTGTGTAGCCATTTTAGCAATTCAACGTTCGTGCTGCATCTGAAACTAACAATAACAAATACTTCATGTACTACTGCGCATCTGTAAACCAGTGTGATGGTTGCTGTTGCCGTTTCCGAATGAAGCAGTCGAGGTCGCTGTGGCATGCTGAGGTTGGATTCGATTTTTACGGAAGGCTTGTTTTCGTTGTCGTGAATCTCGTTAGGAGGCAAGAGCAGAGAAAAAGATTTCGCATAACGGAACAGGGGGACTTTTCGTTTTAGGGGGAGCAGAAAAGTGGGAATGGCTTTCATGCATGAACATTTTTTTACACTAGGGGGTATTTTCGCCCATGTAGGTTTCGTTGTAGAGGAGTTTCACTGTATAAAACAATGCTGATAGGTGAGCGTTATGTCTGGTGAATAAAATGAACAAAAGGTGAGGGTACTAAAACTTCAGTCATTTAAACTCTACCCTCAATTTAAATGAACTCTTAATTGTAGCCCTTCAAAGAGAGAAAGAGATGAGACAAGTCACGTTGGTTGCCCAAAGTCATCAATCTTCTCCTCAACATCCGGTCGACCCGCTTGATTGCGACCAACATTGGCGAAGGCTTCCTTGTACAATCTACGGACCTTAACACCACCACCAATCTCACCGACCCGATGTGTTTCATTGTATCCTCGTCATATTTGGCACTCACTTTCTCATTATCATGATCATATTTGACACTCACTTTCAAAAATAAGCTATATTAGCAGCGAGTAAATTAAAGAGCGCAGACATGTTTGAGGACTTAAGTGCTTTCTGCAGTTAGATACATTTGTCGGTTTCTAAAGAAAAATAATAAAACCTTGCGTTTTGATGTGTTTTTCAAGGGAATTATTCGGTTTTGCTGGGTTTGGAAATGCAACATCGAATGATGCTGTGACAGGCAGTCTGCTGACAGGCGTGCCTCTATTTTTGTCCAAATGGCA